CGATGGCTCGGGTTTTGCCCAGGTTTGAGGCTATCCCGCAGTGGGCCGCCATAACGCATCATGCTGGCCAAGGGCAACCAGCGCTGGTGCAAAGGCATCCCCCTGTTCGCACCTTTCCCCCTGCAGAATGTCCCGCCGCCTGCCCTGGGAATCCCACCAAAGAAGTAGGTTGGATGGGCGCCCGTAAAACATGCACACGAACGGAAGCAAGTGCGGCGCGACATCCCGAAGCTTGGCCTAAAATGCTGCCCGGGACATCGTGTCGTACGCGCTGCGACCATCCAGCGACACCAACGTCGGTGCCGGCTCGGGCCTGCAGGGCGAACTGGTACGGGCGCGTGGCGAGGTCAAACGTGGTGGCCCATTGTCTGGCGAGCGTTTTGGACACAAGGCGGCGGATAATGAAAACGGCGATGAAAATCATGAAACATCATAGTGAACATTACGGAAACAATGAAAATGCTGAGAAAATGACGCATGGATTGTTTTTTACGAAGGGAAAAAAAATTGGAATGGTGGAGCCCAAAAATCGAAGAAGCCTGAAAGCCAAGAAGCCACAATGCCAAGAAACCAGCATCCCAACCAGTCAGCGGGACGAGAACGAAGGTAGAAAGTCATCCCGCTGATGTGGGATCTAATGCTAGGGAGCATCTCACTGAATGAAAGGGTGGCCCGACAACGTGGTGCAGATGCTTGCCCTACTCGCCTGTTAGAGGGACTCGGCTCGGCCCCGCAAAAAACGCGAGGGTGAGCCACGCGCAGCCGAGCGCGATGCTTGCGACCGCTTGCTGGACTGCGAATGGTCCTTCAGTGGTGAGGATTTCCTTGATGTTCAGGATCAAGCCGATGCGAGCACATTGCTGCACCATCACAGAATATGCAAATGGATGAGTGGTCAGAGTGGGAAGGATACGAATAGCCGTAGACAAAGAGACAAGTTACAATAATCGTAGACAGAAACCAGAAAACGCCCCAAAATCCACGCTCGAAGCCGGAAGCCAAAAAACCAACAAGCCAGGAAATCGAGAAGCCATGAAGCCGAGAATCCACGAAACCAGTACGTGGCAGCTCCTTCCCCTCCCCCGTAGTCCACCGCAATCCCTGAAAATGTGATGTTCTTCTTCTCCTTGTTTTATCTTTTGTTTATTTGTTCTTCAGATTTTCCATTTTTTTGTCCTTATTATCATTTCCTTTTTTTTACCACGCCGGACGCCCTGGCGTCAACCAGCACCACCGCCAGGGCCGCTCGACGCCATTACACGCCATCAGCCGCCCCTAGGGGCAGCTCCAGCAGTGACATCGCGAAAGCACGCTGGGCAGCGGCGTGTCCGTGCGGGCGCCGCGCGCTTTCGCAGCCGCAATCCCGCGGACGAGCCCAAGTGTTTCTTGGCTGACCCGGCCGCCAACCTTGAAGCACAAAACTACAATTTGGAGAGTCACGTTGTTCCTGTTTTCCCTCGGACGTATTTGCATCTGCTGATGGCTGTCCCGTCTGGCACGTTTACCTGGCACATCCGGGCACTTCTGTGGACTGCCTTGGATTACGGCGCTTGGTCTTGGCCTGGCCTGTGCACTGGGACCGCGCGAAACGATTGCAAAAAGGTCCGATGGGAAAAAAAATACCCAAGGTTTGCCAACCCTTCATCATCACGTGTTTTCTGCGATGCAGCAAGGTGATAAACCAAATCCCTGGTCATCTCCATCGATTTCCAATGTTTGCTGCGCAAATCATCATACATTGACAGCATGCTGTCAGCAAAGGATCCGAAAGCCTGTAACCCTGAACCCCCAAGGTGTCTCGAAGCTGTCCTTTCCATCAACCACTGCCAGGTTTCAAGGACGGCATTTTCATGGGGCAGGACAGAAAGTTTGACAAATCGGGACAAGCATCACAAAAACCCAACACTCCCACCAGGGCAACAAGTTCCAGCATGACGTTGCCACTGTGACTGCGCATCAACAACTGGACTCCAGTTGGACCCCCTATGCGCACTTGAAGAACGGCACGAAACGACCACAGTTTTGCAGCCCTTGTTTGTTTTTAGGAATCACGTCAGCCAATTTGACGCTAAACGAGCAACCGCTACGCAAAGTACGCAGCTGTACACGTGGCCGCAACCAACCACACACGTCACACGAAGAGCGCAATCTGCCTGGGGTATCCACGGCAAATAGGCAGCAGCGGTTGCCTGGGCCACAAGGGGCCCAACAAAACACGCACAATGCCCACGCGTTAGCGAAGAATGCAACAAAAAAACAGCCTCGACAAAGTACACGGAAACGAACCAGCCTGGAAAGCAGCAATGGCGGCAAAAGAGAAGAAAAACAATTCCGTGACGAGGCGTCAAAAAAAAACCTCACCAAAGTGGCTGGTTGCAACAACCATGCCCAAGTTCAACAAGAGATGTCGAAAAAATGTCGCGGCAAGTGTACAAAACGTGGGCAAGCACGCAGCACATGTGCTGAAGAATGTAAATACACAAGTGAACGTACCAAAAAACGGTGGTCTCGGCTTTGAAGGCTGTAGGCGCTGCCGGAGCGGGCCAAGCCGAAGAAGTGCTCTACCGGCAAACATGATGTGTTTCCTTTAGTGCTACTGCCGGTGTCCTTTTGGCCTTTGTGTAAGGTGAGAAGCGACTACTGCCCCGACACAATCATCGAGGTCATATTAAGTGTTTTTGGTGACACATCGCGCACATCGCAACGCTCCGGGCACCCGCCACAAAGAGCCACATTCACAGCGCGGTGCCCTGCAGCGAAGCAAGCAACAGGTAACACGACAGCGTCAAAGTTCCGTAAGCCGTCTGAAATGGAAACGGTTTTGTCGCACGGTGTCTGCCGATTGGCATAAAAAGGTCAGAAAGCATCACGAAGCTGAACTCAAATGAAATTCCACATCGGCTGCTGTATGGCCAGGCCCACGACTCGAGAGAAGGCACCCCAACCATTTGTGCGTGCTCAAACCTGCTAATGCGTCCACGCTCCTTCAAGCAGGCGCTGTCGCTGGGTAAGGCGTTTGGGTTTCTTTTTGGTTTTTTTCTTCGGACCTTTGTCCGAACGGCGGTTAGCCATCTGCCCTAGGTTTCCGGCTACCTGTGCTCACGAAGCGCTGCGTTCGGAATCCAGAGCATATCCATGGTCGTCCGAGGACATTGGTCTAGAGCGGACAAGGAACGCTTGCTTTGCGGTGGTAATGCCTCGAACATTTTGGAGGTTGTTCCCTTGCCGCCGTGGCGCGTCAGAAAGCAAAGTGCTGACGCAGCGCAACAGGAGGCGCCTCCGGCCAACCGGTAATGCGCCAAATTAGCTGCGGGTCGCAGGGCCTCTGCGATGGGGAGATCACTGCATTGACCGGAGGGATCCGAAAGGGGCATCGTCCAAACACCAAGCAATGCATGCCGTCTGCTGGACCGCCTCCCCACGAACGCTGCGCCCAGCTTTGCGAAAGTGCTCCACGCAGCGTGGACAGGGCGCGACAGCATAGCAAAGCAACTGGGAATCGTCATTCCGAAGTCCCCCAGCTTCTGCTGCGAAATACCGAAAACGCCTCAAGCGATGGGGGCCCCGCGAGCAAGCTAGCCTGAGGTACTCAACTGGAATGTGCGGCATTTTGCGGCGATAGAGGCGAGGGGAAATCAGGCGATAGAGGCCCCGGCTGGCATGCTGTGGCTGACGTTGGCATTGATTTGGTGATCACTGTGGGGCCTGGCCTAAATCTTGCGATGGGAGCAAGGAAAAAACCTAGCTCAAACCGAAGTTTGGCCAGTTTGGCTCGACATCGCAGCACAATGGGCTGACATGGGCTGACGAAACACCAGCGCCAAACACGCTGCAGGCACATCGAAGTTCAACTACTATGGTCAAGTATTACAATCTGCTGCCCCCGACATGTCCGCTTTACGCCGACGATGCAGCGATCCCTCCACACAGCGCAGTCATGCGAAACAGGTACTGGATGCCGATGGCGCTTGGCGCTCTCAGTGACGTTTCAGATTTGCCGTTGCCCTTGGCAAACCTGCCGTCACGTTGTCGGCTACAGGTCGGTTGATTTGAATTTTGCCTTGCAGAACCATGTTCGACCATGTCACCGTTCGAGCATCCCCGGAATGACAGATGCAGGCAAATCGGCGGCTTTCGAAAAGCCATCCAATGCGTCAGCAGCGTGGAGTGCCTTGTCACTTCAGAGCTTTACTCAAAACATGAAATCGAGAAGCATTATAGAAAGCTTTCCCAGTCGCCTTCTCAGTTTCAATACAACTCTTGCATTAGTATGTAGCCACACCATGAGCCCGTAGAAGGATGATGACAATGATTGGCTGCCATATGGTTGTAGCACTTTGCTCAACGCCATTTGCTGCTGGCCAGCCGAATCGTTGACATGTGGTCAACACCCACGTGGTTGACCAAGGTAGCATCAAGGACCCCGAAGGCCCTCAAGGCGTGCCAGGGTGACGGCATGCTTGCCTGTCATGCGATTCAGAGCTATTGCTACACCTTCCAATCCCAGCAATGGCGACTTGGACGTAGACCTACGCCCAACAAGCTGCCACGTAAGCATCCTTTGGTAATGGAGAAGGCCATTGACGTTCCGTGCGATGTTCGCTGCGGCTGCGCGCGCGTACGCTTTATGGCATCTCGTGACATATGTGCCAGCAGTGTTGTGAAGACACGATGCGCAGCGCCACTTGGCGCACCAGATGACCTCAAATGTTTGGTTTGTATACACGCCAGGCGCTGGCAGGCACGCTTGCCGAGGCCAGAGACGCATCAGTATCTCGCAGATTCGGGTTGGACAGGGTTGCTGGCATGGGCAGCCAGTCTCCCGCGCACATTCGGAAGTCCATTTCGAACCTGGCGCCCCCTGCTTAGGGCGTTTCGGTATTTGTGAATTCGGAATTTTGCCAGCAAGAATTGGGCAAAAAATCGATACCTGCACTGGCTCTTTACAGCAGGGTTGCTTCTGACCTCTTGTACAAGAGGCACCGCCGTAAGCGCGGCACTAAAGGCTGCAACCACGTGAGTCATGGTCGAACTCGTTGGTGCAACTCTGCCCAGTTGCTGCCCTTGCAAAAAATGAGAAATCCACTGCAAACAAGCAAGAAATAATACTTTGGCTACGACAAGAACTCTGACAGCGGTCTTTCAGCATCACCTTCTGTGGCAGATTCGACTCCCTGACAGGTGCCTGCTGCGCCGGTTGAGAGACCATGGCCGAGATGAGCTTGGCTATGGCCCCGCCATAGTGCAAAGTCCTGTGACCTCTGGACAAACGGAGTGAGATCTCATCTAGCCGTAGATCACCTATCGAGGGTTGAAGCAGCAGTTTGAGTCACCGGCCGGCAAGGACGAGCAGGTTTCACTGGCTTGTGTTATTTAACATTCTTCATTCTGAGGCTGCGGCAACGCTGTCATAGGTACGGGCGCGCGGTCATCTCACACGCTTTGATCCAAAGCACAATTGCATGAAAACTATAGGAAACTCATAGAGTAATTATTCAGTTGATGGCGGTAACAGGGTATTGTGGCCATCCCGTCATCCACCCGCTGGACCATGACTGTCATTTCACACCAGCAATGGTCCATCAACTTATCTGGCCTGTTGCTAGCTGCAAATCTGAGTCCTGTTCTAACATGGCTCACAAAGCAATTGAAGATGAAAGGCCTGGGCCTTGGCAGGCCCAGAATTGTGCAAATGTACCGTATGAAGCTTGACTTGTTCCCCGCCATGCAGTCCGAGGGTTTCAAGCTCACTAGACGCGCCGAAACAAAACATGGGACAGAATACTCAAAAGCCTCTATGGATTTACTGGGCAAAGTCATCCGGCACAGCAAACTCGCGCATTCAAGTTCTACAAGCCAAATCCACGACCCAATCGGCTGGGCTTGGATGATACAATCTCTCCTAGGGACATCATCATCTATGAGACCACTGCCATTGTGACATGTAGTGGTTCAAAGGACTGCTCCAACTACAAGTCTGGACTTTTCTGGCGCATCCTTGGCTCCGCGAATCTGGCATGCCTAACTCCCAACGACTGCCGCTATGTTCGCTAGCTTACCATGGATTTCTGTGGTAGCACGCCGGATGTGAGACTGTGAGACAGTCACTAGGACGGGACACGAAACTAAGTGATGCATGATCTAACTTCACATCGCAGCTAACAAATAGGTAGTTGGAATGCTACTTGCTTAGGCTCCAAGTCATGTTCTTGTGGTTTTGTGATTCTACACACAGGCAAGTTCTTTTGCTGCATGGACCAAACATACCAAAAACATCAAACCCTTGCTCTTCTTGCGGGATCTGCATGAAAAGTGAACTAACGTCGGCTCTCACACGAAGAGTCAAGAGTCAGCCCGCCTTTCAAAGGAAGCACTGCTTGGGTCACGCCCCAACCCTCTGCCAGGATCTGTAGCTGTAGAACTTCTAGACGAATGCTATCATAAGCTTCTGTACTTGCTGCAGATGCAATTCTTGCAATCATTCCTGCTTTTGCTGTTGTTTCTTCTTGCCATGTCTTTTCATAACACCATATGAAAAACGGCGGTCGCTTGATCAAAATATTCTCACTAACTGCCATTGATTTCACAAGCAGGCCTTGTCCTCCTCCTCGTCTTCGGATGGGATTTCTGGCACAGATGCGCACTTTTCTACTCCGAGAATTCTGCTGCAGTGATTTCCCTCCAGGAGCTCAAACTCTTGGTCCAGGGATCGCACCGTCGGGTGGATCTAGACCAATCCAGCGGCGAGTCTCCTTCCAGGTGTCGTAGGTCACCTTGGCTTCTACATGCTTCTACGATCTTCTGACACCGGCACCGATAGGAAGGCAAGCATGCAAAGGTCTGCTGGACAAGTCACAGAGATGCCGGCTCCTGGCCATGCAGTGCGCAAAAGACTTTCGCGAGCATCTCTCAGCCAAGAAAATCCAGCAAACGAGCCTTCGAAACATCTGGTGAACTGGCACATGGAAGAGAGGCCTTCGTCGCACCAACTGTTCAACAAGCTTGCACACAGGGCGGTTGCACCGCCCAGGATGGCAGAGAGTAGTGAGTAGTGCAAGCGAGCTGCAGGAAATGCACGGTGTGTGACTTGCAAACACCCGCATCTTGCCATCAACCTCAGAAGCTCCCGCAGTTACGCTTTGAGCGATCCACGCTGCCGTTGTCAGCATGCTAAGTGTTCCTAGCGTGCCAGCCGCAAAGGCTACAAGAGGCTGAGCTTGCGTACGCCCTTCTTCACACCTTCGCTAACAGGGTCTATCGGAGCTGCCTGCGTGCATCTGTTGCCCGGGGAGAAGCTCGCCGCAGCAACGAGTACCATGCAAGAAGCCGCAGCAAAAAAAAAACAGAGTAGGATGCTAGTAGCAAGTAGAGACACTGCAATGCTTCGCAAGTCCGTGCCTGCAGCAACACCAGTAGAGCCTGCCACTAGTCAATGGAAGATGCGAAGGTAGGGCCTAGTCCCTGCTGCCGCCGCTCCGCGAATGCGGAAACACTTGGTCATGTCATGTCTGCTGACGATGCTGCTACGACCACTCATGCAGCTAGCCCTGCTGGTGATACTAACGCTCGTGCAAGGCCCCAATCACCTCAAACCCAGAAAATTGTGGGAGTTATGTGGATTTGTATGGTGAAGGGGTTTGACAGATTGGCGACCATCTTGTATTGCCCATACACCATAACCGTCACCTTAGGGACCCCGAACCAGCACGTCAGTAGTAACTATATCGCAAGGGGGTCACCTGCCGCTCCGCATGCGAAGAACGGTCGTGATCCACGAAGACCTGGCAACTCAAGGCAGGACCTGTATGTACTGAGGTGATCAGTGCTGCTTCAATCGGCCCTGCTACCAACAAGGCAGCATGACCGGAAGAATCCAGATATTTTGTCTAGCATCGCCGTGCCCCACCTGAGCATGTCGCTGAAAGGTGATGTTCCCAAATCACATGTAAGAGATCTGCACTAAGTGTTGAAACCAAGAGCAACGAGAAAATCGCACACTGCTCTTGCTGCAGCTGCGCGACGGCGCGGCTCGTGACTTGAACCAGCTCCTGAAGACGAGCAGCTCTGAATCTGCGATACTGCAAACTTCCGTGTTGCCAACAAGTAGTCCGCCGCAGTTCTGCTGTTGTTTCCCATGAAAATTGAACTGCTACTCACCCCACCATCCCACACCTTTTTCTCTGCCAAGCGCGATGGTTCTTTTGTTGAGGCTCCCTGGAACCATAACAACAGCCATCAACATGCTCCCAACCTGCCCAACGGACACTGAAAAACTGCTCTCAACGCTGCCTGGCTGCCTGTTTCTATCCTCTTGTGAAAATTTCAAAAGGTTGAGATGTCAACCACCCATTCTCATGAAAGGGATGGGTCCTTTCCGCCTTCCTTCACGAGACCCTGGCTGAAGGCCACAAGGTCCTGCATCTGCTGGGCACATGGTGGGATCTGGCATCTTGAACCCTGGGGCATGGATTTCAATACAGGAGGCTGACCTTGACGCAATCATGCTCACGATTCTGCAGAGACCCTACAGGGATTCACACGGAATTAGGATTGCTTGCCAACAGATATGTAAATAACCCACCGGTTTGCTCGCATCTTGTTACTAGCTCCCCAAAAGGAGCACTAAAGTCTGGAACTACTGGACACCAACTCTAAAAGCTGCAACTCGCACAGCAAAAACGACTCAAAAGATATGGATGTGGGGAGGCTGCGGAAACATTGGTAACATTGCTTCCGCTCTTAATTCTATTGTTGCTTAATCTGGGGGTTCCGAGAAATGAATGCCATGGTGCCACAGTAAGCATCGAAGCTATGTTTGAAGAATACCCAGACCCTGCGGGGCGAATAGATTGCCATGTTTTAGATGGAGAGTTGCGTGGATGCAAGACAGCCTGGAAGCCATGATCAAGATGAGATCTACATGTGGAAGGACAATGGCCAAATAGCAGCGGTACTCAGTGCAGCAACAAGAACAATTAAAGCAGCAAGACCTGGCTGAAATTTGGCCGTTGCAGAAGCTTTTTGGGTCTTGTTGCTGAAGGTGAAGGAACAAGTTACAAACCTCTGCTTTAGGTGTGCGCAACTGTCTTGGAAACATTCTTTAGCATATTGCCTAACTTGGTAGTTTCCCCAAAATAGAGGGAACCCCAACATATATGTGTGTGTACATATATATATATACATGTGTATATATATATATACCCCTAAATACTGTTATCCTTATTATTGGGACCCCCCCAAATGGTGCCCCTAATTTTGGGAAACACTCACTTCGCGGCCCCAGCAAAGTGATCACCATCCTTGGCCTTGCCCTCCGCAGTCCTTGGCCTGTGGGTCCTCTCCCGGCTCTACATCTGCAAGATTGAGCTCCTTGCGCGCCTGCCACGCTTAGGGCTGAAGGGTTTCTCATGTAAGGTTTAGGGCTTGGAGTTTCTGATGCAAGGTCTAGGGTCTAGGGTTTAGAGTTCAGATTTGAGGTGCAGGTCCCTATTTCTGCAATTGCATGGCCTACTGGGATGGTGCTCAACAGAAGTGCTACTGCTGCCACTTGCTAGAAGGTTTATGGTTTAGGATTCACGGTTTGGGTTTTCGGGTGTACAGCCTGAAGGGTTTTCGACTCGGAGCTTACAACTGAATGTTGAAACAATATTTCTATGGAACCTTTTTCCTCCTATTCAGTTGGAGTCCTTTGTGCTAGCAACAGAAGACCATCTCCCTCCCCCTTGACCTTGCGGATGGTTTCAGGGATAGCTCTGATTGAGGGCTTGGATTTTGGCGTTTGGGATGATTTTTGGTTTAGGGTTTCACGCAGTAGGTTGTGAAAATCTTCGAGCTTGGGACGATCCCTGGCCGGCTGCGCTATATGTGATGGCAGGACGTCGGAGGACGTAAAAATCACACTCGTGCTACTGTTGCTAGTCCTTCCCTCAAAGAATAAAGGGGGTTTATTATTAGGGCAGACAAGTACAAAGACTGGAAGCTGAGGCTGCCATTACAAACACGCATCACACGTTAAAACTTAAACCCCAACCCGAAACCTCAAACAGCATATCCTAGACTTTGGCAAGTTGGCCTGGTATCGCGCCAAAGGGAGCCAAATCCCATTGTCGCCTGTGGCCGTCGCCCGAGGTCTGGTGCTATTGGCCAGGCTTTACAGTCTAAAGTTTAGGGCTTTGTGTTCAGGTTTTGGGTTTGGGGTTTTCGGGTCTGTCATTCACGCACAGAAAGTAACCATCAGAACAAACTGCAAATGTGCCCAATCTTGGACCTCCCCGAGTGATTCTCCTTGCTGCTAAGATGACGATCACTCTGCACTACCACTTTGGTTCAGAAACATCGTAGCTACCTCAATTGCTTTGGTCAAATGCTGATCCGCTTTTTTAATGGGTATATAGGGTTTGCAGAACATGGTTCCTTTTCGTTGCACTTCTGGGATCCGAACCAATTCTTAAAAATCAGGTCGTATCATTGAAACCCTGCTCTCTCACCGGCATCCCAACAAGGGCTGCCCTGATGAGAGAACTTATAATCTACTGAGCCCTAAGAATCTTGACATATCCCCAAGGTCTGCCTAAAGGCCCCTCATTTTGAAGTGCTTCATGGTTACAATTACACACGGGCCTCGGCACAAGGCGTCTAAAGCCACGCCAGTAAAGGCCTGACAGGAGAGCGAACGCGAGTTCCGTTGATTCCTGTTGTTTGAAACCTTTTCTCCAAGGCACGAGGTACCTCAATCACCCTCCTGCTGTGAATTCCTTCTTATGATGTGCCCGTAGCTTCTGAAAGACACTCGTCTCATCCCACACGAGCCACGCTTTGTCACAGAGCACCGCGTGATGTGAACGTCCTGCAGAAATCCAATCTCCTTGTCAGAAAATGGACCTGTGAACCTCCATAAGCCTCATCTGTTTCCGCCTTGGGTTGCTTCCTGGGGAACACCAGCCCGTTTCTAATCTGGAAGGGTCCCAACTTAGCGATGGTCACTACTCTTCCTGGCAGAAGCCTGCTTAACCCTACGAGAAAAGCTCCATCTGCTAACAAATTCCACCCTCAGCACTAAGCCCCAGGAGTTTAAAGAATGGTTTCTTTAGATCCAATCTTCTGAGAGTGAGACTGCAAAATGTGATTTCGGCCAACATGAGGGAACTAAAATTTGGGGTTCCATAATAATGGAGGTCTTTACGATATGCCTTAACATCAGATCCGCCTTGGCCCCCCCTGAAATCAATGCAACGCTTTCCAAAAGGACCAACACTTTGCTGGCCCCACTTTCGCTTGCGGTCTAGGTTTGTTTGTTTGTTCTGGGCGCGCAATGCAGGCTTTTGATGAGTCTATTTCGGGGTCCCCATTAGGCGTTTCAAGAATGAGTGTTCTCTGATTCATTATCCCAATAACCGAAACCCAAAGCGTTATGACAGCATTTTGGACTCTATGCTGGGGTCCCCCTTTTTTGGGAAGAGCTGTTTGGGAAACTACTACCTGGTGATGCACGGACCACGCCCTGCAACACATGCCGGCAGGACGAAACCCAGGGTGAACTGCTTTTCCAAGGCCTGAGACATTGCTACAGGTGCTTGTAGCTGCAACGCCCACACTTTAATGTATGGAAGAAATCATCCATGCGGCTCTGAATCCTTCTTCTCATAGCGAAGCTGAGACGGGGGCGGCATCGTGCACTCTGCTCGGTCGTGACAGTTTTCGCCCGGTCTTCATATCTATCTTAAAGTCCTGGCATGAGAGAAGTTCTTTGAGTCCCGGCCGTGCCTGACCTCAAACTTCAAGCTGCTCTCCAAAGTACATCAGCCAGTGCAAAGGATGGCAAAACATGCCAGCTTCGCATCTGCGCTGTCCTTGCGATTTGTCAATCGCTTTAGCCTCCCAAGCAGCATGTGAGCTCTTGCCGCTACAGCACACCACCTCACACTGTAAACAGTGAGCATCACCAGGAATGCCCGGAGCACGTCTAGCAGCATCATGGAAGGACTGTTGCTGCGACGACTATCCGACTATGAATGTCACTGTTACCAGCAATTTTGCTATCCAATTCCAATCTACCATTTAAGTTTCCATTTCCTGTTCCCTAAAGCCTAAACCCCGAAACCCTTACAGTACACCCAAACAGTAGGAACTACTTAGTAGTTGCAAGGACTCATCAAGATTTAGCTGTTTAACTGCAGGGTTGTTTCTGCGAATGAACACCCCTCCTTTTAAGGGCCACTGCTAGGATCCCTCTTTAGGTCTAGGGTCTAGGGTTTAGGGTTTAGGGTTTTATCCTTGTTGATGGGAAGGGGTTTATGAATCACGGGTCTTTACGGCACTGTAGAAACCAATTCCTAATCTGCGATCCAATGCCGACATGAGCTTTAATCTAAACTCCACAAGACGGGTCATATAGGCGGTTATATAGGGCAGTATTACAGAAGTTACTAAGCGGAATACTAGGAGTTTAGACTTCAGCTCACATGTGAAACATAAGTTTGCATTTGATGCCTGGGTAGTACTGGAACGTAGACGCACCTCAGCAATCGATGGAACATGGTAGCCAGTCGCAGTACAACTTATCGGAAAAAGATTTGACCCGGGATTCTTTCCCCTAAACCGAACTTCTTGTTGGCATCACCATTGCTTCTAGATGAAACATGATGAAACCAAACTCAATCAAACAGCACTCGCTCCAGGAAGCTGAAGCTTCCCGCGCATAAGCGAGTGGATGCAAGCTGAGGATGCCACTTTCGGAATGCGTTCCTTATCGTTGCAGCTCACAATGGCTATTAGGTCTTGTCCATCTCCAAACAAGCTGCAGAAACAGGAGAGTTTTTGAAGGCCGAAGGTCTCCAAGGTCCCACCCAGTTTGCCATGCCAGTGGAGAAGCTCGACTGCGACCACCTCAGAATTCACTGCTGTATTTGCAGAAAAGCTTGTAGTTTGTGGGCGGTGCTGCTACTGCTGCAATAATTCTGATGGTGGCAGCAAACACAGTCCCGCTCTGCCGCTGCCTGCAAACTCTTTGACAGCAAGAGCAGCAGCGCCAGCAACAACAACAAGAACCACTTCCATTCACAACAAGCACAGGCAGAAAAAATTAAGTAGCAAAAGCAGCCATCAGCAGCAGTACCGCAAGTCCGGATAGCGATCACAAAAAAGTCTGCAAGCCTCATAACACTGTTCAGCTCTACTGAAGCAGAGTTTCCGCGATTCAGCTCTACGGAAGCGCACCGCGTGGACAATTGCGTCCGCTTGCTTCTCCACATCTGTCATCTTTCGCTCACCTTGTCAGCAGATAGCCCGCATGCAATACATAAGTGTGTTCGGCTGAGTACTGCCTCAATTCCTGTGCAAATGGAAAACCACGCATAAGCTGCAACCTCTGATCTGGTTGCCTGAATTTGCGCTGTGAAGTCTGAATCAGGAGACCCAGTGAATTTCAACCTGATTCCAACATTCACATCCAAGATCATCCAAGCAAAGCTGAATATGATGGCCCGCCCATTTTGCTCATCTGCAAGGCGAAGCTGGATCATCATTGGGTTTCTTGCATCTCTCAGAGGGTGAAGTTCTATGCTTCATGCGCTTATGATGCAGCTTGAGTAGGAAATTGTCTGTCATAGCATTCCTGGAGATTTGAATTTGGTCCAACAATGACCCAGGAAGGAACCAATTTGTGCACTCAGCATGCAGTGCTAACCAGGGGCCTCCTGCAGCCTGGCTCGCGGGAACTCTTCCGACATTCGTGGGAGAGGAGTTCATGTTGAGCTCTTCTGCAATCACTGCACCCAGTAGGGTACTAGTAGTTCTTCCAGCAGAAATACAAAACTAGCGCAAGCATACGCAAGCAGTAGTACGGTGGATACTAACAGATCCTGCACGACCCTAACTACTTCATACCTTGGAAATTATGGGGTACTATACTGTGGTGGTGCAGAAATTTGAGAGACCACCGTAGTAAAAGTTAGAAGCCATACTCGTCGTTGTCGTCCTCATCCTCGTCCTCGTCCTCATCGTGGTTGTCGTCGTCGTGACGGTCGTCGTCGTGGCCGTCGTCATCGTGGCGGTCATCGCCGTTGTCGTCGTCATCGTTGTGGTCGTCGGCGTCGTCGTCGTTGGCGGCGTCGTCGTCGCCGCCGCCACCGCCTCGTCGTCCTCCTCCTCCGCCTCATCCTTGTCGTCATCGTCCTAGTCCTAGCCGTAGTCGCAGTGGCACTCGTAGTTTCAGCAGCAGAAGCAGCAGCAGAAGCAGTAGCGCGCAAGCAGCATCAGCAGCAGCAGGAATAAGAAAAAAAGCAGCAAGGATAATAGGAGTAGTGGCCGTAGCAAAACAAGTCATGGGAGGAGTAGTCGGAGTGGCGCTAGCAGCAAGTAGGAGGAAGAGGAGGAATATTCGGAATAGCCGCAAACATGCCTCCTGAACGAGCTCGTGCTCTTCACCGAACAACAACGAACAACCACAAAAACCAACAGAATTAAGCCTGCTCTGGGGATCACAACCATTTGAGCTTCTGAAGTGCATGGCATCAGGAAGGTTTTCGCATGTTTTCGCAATGCCCCGCCTACTTAAACGCAGCTTGAGCTCTTTCTGCAGCACGTGCTACTGAGCACGGTGCGCATACAGGCACTCCTCTCTTGTCATCAGACAAAAATCGACGTCGGGTTTTTCTACATACTGGGCGCTGAAGCGCAGAAAACATCTGATATTGAGAAATTGAGAACAGCAGAAGTGCTGCAGCAGCTATTCCACTCCACCGCCACTGCGCCTGCTCTTGTTGTGCGCCTGCTATGGGCAAAGCAGGCAACAGGGCAATGGAAGCGGAGCAGCTTGCAGCTTAGACAATCACAAGAAGCAAGATCTGATCACCAGATTTGCTTGGGAACTTAAGCGGCCAAGCAACTGCTAGGCTCACAACATCTCACAACACTATCCACTATCCATATTGCTACAAGATCTACAAGTAGCAGCTGTCAGCCGGCGCAGCCGCCGCAGTGCATTCACGTGAGGCTGAATTTCCGCCGATGCAAGCTCGCAAAAGGGTGCACCACACCACAGAATCAGGAGAAAGTTTACAGGAATTCCATGGTGCCTCAAGCATTCAGACGCTTTGTCTGCATTGCTTGACTCAGATTAGAGAGCATGCGCAGAATGTCATGGAACTGGCAGCAGGGGTTGCATGCCGGGGACCTGAAGGGGTCCTGCCTCGAAGTCAAACTCAAAATTGCGCTAAGTCTGTGGCCAGTGAAACGATGCCACAGTTTCTAGGAGAGCAGTGATTTCTGCTAATGTGCCTTTAAACTAGTGGCTTCTCCATGACAGTGATCACTACTCAACACGTCACCATGACTTCTCGTGACTTGCCTCGCATACAGCTGGGGCGCGCCACAGGAGCCAATTGCGGCACAGCAGAGACAAAGGCCATAAGGTTCAGGCTTGCAGGTCCAGTGATGAGGAGTGAAGATTGAAGGTTGAAGGTTTGGGGTGCTCGTGAAAGTGTTCATGAAATGGAACGAACATCCGAACTGCTACACTGTTGCCGCCGAATCTACATATGAAACTACCGCCACAGCCAAAAACAGAAGTTTACCCACCCCACAGAGGAAGCTACACAACGCAGGTGCCATACTATGCGAATCTATCGTGCCGCAATGCATGCTGAGCAAATACGCCTCTGTGGAGCTGAAAGATTCCCATGCAAAGACTCGGAGTTCTCCGAGATGTCTTTGATTGGCATGCACAGCAATGAAACGAAACGAGTCGCGGACGCAAGCCAGGGCTGTGCATGGAAAAGCATTGGTGTGTCCTGTTTTCGACGGCCGTGCGTGCGCACGGCCTCTCTAAACCCACACATGACACTCCTGCTGTTACCGCAAATTTGGCAGCGACACGCTGCTGAGGGGTTTTGTCTACAAGCCTGGTTAGCCAGTTGAAGTCTGCAAGCACACCAATACCTGCACAAGCACTATAGTTTTCCCATGTGCCATCCCGGCGAAGATGGCTTCACCTCAGCTGGACATGAATCTTTCGTGCTGTCACTACTTACTTCTAGCTAAGCAGCTAAACGCCTCTAAGCAGAAAATGTCAGTGAAGAAAGTAGCAACGACAACCATCAGCAGAAATGCAATAGTTGTATACCCAAGGCCCAGTGGCAAGAGCAGATTTCTGATCCTGCGCACCATTTGCATCCACGACTTTGAAGATGTTGGCTCCGTGGTGACTCCTCGTATTCTTCTGGATTGGGGGTGTGTAGCAGTAGGTTCCAAACTTCAGTCTTGATTTTCTAGCCTTTTCGAAATATTTTTCGAAATGATGTGTTGCGTGGCTATGTTGTAGAATGTTGCAGGGTGTGGCGCTGCTTGGGCGGTACCCCCTTGCTGAGGAAGTATCGAGATCATCCCACTGTGGGTGCATGCGTTTATGTATGCCGAATGATATTTATATAAATACATATACATATACATATACATATACATATACACATACATATACACATACATATGCATATACATATACATATACATATACATATACATATACATATACATATACATATACATATACATATACATATGCATATACATATACATATACATATACATGGATGGTTATATGTATCCTGGACACACAAATGCGTGCTTCACACGCACTTAATGTCGGCATGTGTGCCGGGTAACGCGAGGCTGGAAGCAAAGGCCAATGAGAGGGGCAATTCGAGGTGAGTCCCACG